GACGCATCAAGCTGGCAGTGAAGAGTTCTCCCAGACAGCTGCCAATTGCACGCTTGCTTTGAGACCCGACGCAATCCGCGCGTTCGTCTCCATCCTGAACTTCATCCTCCGTATGCGGCAATATCACACTTGGAGCTATCAGTATGACCAGGTTCGTTGCGGATGATGCACGCCTCCGATGACTTGAATGACACTCTCTGTTTACAGATCAACAAAACTGCCCACCGGATGTATGCTCTCTTCGCGATCTGCAATGCGCTTTCGCCGATGACAACATTTCTAACATCGTCAAGGAGCGGTACGGCGAGCAGTTTTCGAATATGTCTCGGGGGTGAGTATTCATCCACGCTCACCGTTTACTAACAAAGTGTCCGTTTCGTAGCGAGGAAGGCATTCCGGCCTTCGAGGAGCTGTTCCTCTACGCATGCCCCAAGTTCATCTCAGCGAACCCACCACCATACGAGGACCCCGAACTGCTCGCGGCCTACGTCGAGGATCCCCCAGTAGAGCCCGCGCTCTTCCTTTCCTTGGTACGCGCACAGGCCCCGGTGCCGACTCTGCGCAGCTTCCTGGCTGTACACGTCGTTGGACGCGAAGAAACTCGCCAACTTCCTCGACGCGGACGAGGAGGAGATGGTTCAGCAGATGATGGTTATGAAGCAGGCGAGTCGGAGCGTAAGCCGTCTCGAGAACGACAAGGGCCTGCTGGATGGCCTTGGATTTCGTGATCGACGAGGTATGGATGCATTCTCATGCCTGTGATCGGTGCATTCCTGACAGCGTTGGTAGAACATGGTGCATATCGCAGAGTCGACTGTTGGACGGCGCTTTGCGGGGTGGTTCATCCGGAACACACTTAACACGCGCAGCGCGTGTTTGATACGCTCCGCAGTAGCCCGCTTCCTGTTCCACCAAAGCCTGCAGCGAACGGAACGATGACTTCGGTGCTCGCTGACGCGGGATGCAGCTTGACATGATTCTAGCGAACAGGCTGTCACTTACAGTACCCGATCTCTGGGACGGCCGCCAGTGAGTATTCTGTTAATGGCTCGCCATTGACCTGGATGACGCAGGATACAAGGTTACTTGGCACGCCCGCTCACCCACCGCAATGGCATGCAATAGGCTGATGCCATCCTCCACCACCATGCGTCGGCTTCGATGCACCTCCCTGCAACATACGTGCACAATGAGCTCGAACATCTGCTCCTCAAGCAGTCGATGCCAACACCAGACTGTGGGGAGCCAGCCCGACCGAACCGAGGAGAAGACGACTGGGCAGAGGCTGGCGCGGGCACGACGGACACAGGATCCGGTGCACGTCTAGCCTCAGGAGGGTGCCATCTGACCGCGCTGGTCTGCCGCTCCCCACGCGTATCTCCGTGCACGAAGCACATGGCTGCAGCTGGCGCGACCGCTGAGAACGAGGTCGCGGGAACGTTTCAAGCGGTTCTCACTCGAGAACCTGCACGTCGCGAAGAGCACTCGAGGTATCTGCACCTCGAGGCCGTTCTTCTCACGCTCCCGTCGCATCGCTTCTGATCAGGTGAGCGACCGTCAATGCGGAGAGGAGTGGTTGCGTTCACGTATGAGGACGTGGGTGATCTACTCCTATCCTCGATTTATTACACTATTCTAATGTAGATTGTTACATGGCTGAATACAAACATGACTATATTTAACATGATTCATCAAACATCGAGCGCGATAAGGGCCATGGACAGGGACTCACGGTAATGTACAATGTCAAAACGTGTCTTAAGATCGCGAAGAGAACATGCGTGAATGACAAATGGGAGGCAGGCAGCCTTTGCTGGCCGTCCCCAGACCGATCTGCACGAAGAATTCATTCCGCTAGCCTGGAGCGTGCGATGTTCGGGCTCAGAGACCCGTGGCCAGCAGAATGAGGTCTAGATGGAACGCACAGATGCGATGAAGAACCTGGTGGATGTTTGATGCGGGGATGACTCACGGGAACCCTCTTCGACGGCTCTTCTTTGGAAAAACTCACACTCAAAACGGAAGATGTGAGAGGGCGAAAAATGACTCGGCCGCTCAGATGAAGCCCAGAGCACTTCGAAGTGGCCTAGATGCGTGTGAGCGAACAAAGAGCTCAGAGTTCACCAAACATTCCATGCCATGGAAGCTTACCGGAAAAGATGAGACCCGAGGTCAGCGTGCAAAGGAAGTGCAGGGCTTACCGCACTTTGCCTTGACACGGGCAGGGGCCGAGATGGCCTCAGAGAAACGAATTGGATCCGGAAGCTGACCGAGAGCTTCTATCTGTCGCTGCCCTCGTCAAGCGAGTTGGCGCGATCTCTACGAGCAGAGGGATTCCCTGTTAGCGTGATCGAGAAACCAGCCGCA